CAATACCTGTCTAGTGGGACATGCTTCCATTGGGCAATTGCCACACATTTCTCCACAGTCAGAGCAGTTCTTATTCAGGGATTCTGACACCTCAGGGCAGGGGAGGAACATGGCCTTGCAAATTCAGAAGTTCCGTAGCCACTGCTGGTCATTCCCTGTCTGCATCATAATGCAGTCCCACCACTCCAAGCTTGCCTCACAGCACCAGAACCAGCATGGCACCATGTCTACAAGATTGACTAGCAGTTGCACTAGCATCAGTGCCAGGCCTTGCATGAGCAGGGTGTCCATGCCATGCCAAGCTTCTTCCTCGTCCTCTTCCTGGAGGAGCAACACACATATGCTCTCCAAATACAAAAAGGCATGAGCCTCTCACACACAAGGAAGGAGGGAGTAGATCAGTGCATTAGGGGACACTGACAACATGAGCTCATAACTACCCACTGCACTGTTTTGGTCCAGCAGGCACTGTGAGCATAGCCTAGAATGCAAAGCTGCCCGTGATCCATTGCTCTTGGAGTCGATGGTAGGCTCACTACCAGGAACGCATTACTTCAGAGTATATTTGATTCTTCCCCACAGTGAGGACATGGACCTTAGACTTCGCAAAACTGGGTGGTACAAAATCAACCATATTAGATTCAACCTTACCTCGTAGTGTAGACGTGCCCTAACACAGCCCACACTTGCAGTTCCACGCAGATGACACAGTACAGCACTTCATATTCAGTCTTGGAGTGCAGCTCCTATTTACACGGAGGGCTGCCCTGCAGCCCAGAATTTTGAGGGTACCCAGAGGAGCAGAACAAAATTAGTCCCATTCTCCAACTGTCTACCCTCTTCAACTATAAGTCTTAGTAAGTATGGTTTCTCATATAAGCTTTTACTGAATAATCCCTACATTTATGACCTTGTCAAATCATGTCCAGGCAAGTTTTTTTCAGGGGGAGTTTCTCCTCCAAATACTGAAATATATTGAGTCAAATTCTGAAATCAAAGAAGACTACAAGACAAAATTCAGTGCAGCAGAAACAGACTGTAGTGGCGGCAAAAATCATAGAACTCTGAAGTTTTTATTCACATGTCCCTCCCTCTCTCCTTTCTAGCTATTTTTGTACTTTTATGTGGTGAGTTTTTCTGACTCACCTATTGAATCTTATTATATTTGATTAATGAATTATATTGGTTTTCTGTGTCTGCTTAACTGGGATGTTTCAGTTTCACTGTTACTGCTATATATGAATTGAACCTTCCCCTTAATCCCAAATTTAATTTCTTTAGTTTGCAAAGACAATCAGCACTGAAATTGCTGCATGGACTCACACTGGCACTATACAATGCACTATGAAAATAATTTGATAAAAGACTTTAAAATTGAATTTCTTCCTTTGTAATATGTCTCTTCATAAATAACTGTACACGATGGGGAACACCACTCCTCCATTCTGCCCATTATATAATACAAAGCATTTAAGGATAAGGAACAGCGTTGTTTTTATTTTTTTTAATTAGATCTGGAACTGAATCCTGTTTACTTTATTCATGTAAGCTGGATGAACAGGGATTTGGATCCTTGTGTTCTGTCTTTTTCTCCAACATCCTTCTCCTCTGCTCTTGCTACCTCTAAGGGCAACAAAAAAAAAAATCACCCATATATTTATCCTTATTCTTTAAAAAACACTATCTGCTCCAGTCCCTAACTTATATACACTCACCACCACAGTAGCTTAAATTCCTTTATTTTATCAGAATACAATGTTCTCATATATATACCTTGTATTAAATACATTTGAATTTTCTGTTTCCTTTGTTTTACAAATGTCTTATATTACCAAGAAAGAGAGACTACTGAGCTACAGAACACAGCTACAAGGACAGAATACTTTGCCCCGATCTGTAAGTTAAAAAAGGAACCCAAATGTGACCAAAAATGTAAGAAAGTTTTTACCAAAAAAGTTTAAAAATACAAAAAGGTGATGACAAGAAAAGTGACATGGAATCAAAAGATAACATTACCAACAAATCAAAAAGGCATTAGTTTACACTCTGCTTATTGTTTATGCTAAAGTAAACTTGACAAATTACTAATGAGCTTTCTGAATATCATTGTATAGTTTTCCAGTGATAACAGCCCATATACTAACATTTTTAAATGGTAAGAACTGGGAACCAAAAAATTCCCCACCTGTCAATCTGTTCTTTGATTAGCAAGTATTTTCTCTGGATGGATATTTGATTCTAGTTCTACTACTGTATTACCATTGCTTACGGTGATCAAATCTTTGCAACCTGGCCTTCAAAAATAATCTTAAAAATGGAGTAGCAACTTAAAGTTAATTGGAACTGTATACTGCTAGATGCATCAGGTCTCATTTATATGATTAAGGTGCAGAATATACAAACAACATTTAAATATAGCATTGCATCACAAGTGGTGAGAAGAAAGCTAAATGAATATAAAGTATCAGGTCACTTCTGGCTATCTATTTTCTGAATCATTTGTGGTATTTGAAATGTTTATTAAAATGTTTACAAAAACAAAAATAAGTTATTTTATAGCATTATTAAAATGCTTTTAGAAACATGAAATGATATAGAACCCAATTATTGTCATTCCAATCTATTGGATTGGCTTGAAGGGCAAGGAGATAGGGAAATGAAGGTTCTTTGAGGGATGGAGGGGGAATACAGATAGGAACTACACATTTGGATACCATGTGCCTGAGACCGGAGAAGTGCCGGTCATGCTGCACCTATGTGGTGTTCACCTTGTGCTCCAAACCGAGGGCAAAAAGCACTGCGCAGAGCAACACCTCTCCAGTTTCTTTTCTTACCATGAATCATGTCATGATCCACAGCAGGGAGGGATTCAGGTGGGTAGTGGAATACAGAGAGGGATCAACCATCCTGAAAGACCGCCTGCTATAGGTTAGTACCCTCCATTTCTTCTTTAGGTGCTGGTCCTTATATGCATTCTATATGTGGGCGATTGGTAAGCAATAGTCGGGCAGGGTGAGGTTTGAGGATGCTGTTCATATAGACGCGTGTAGTACTGTTGTCCCCTCATTTGTGGAAGAAGTTGGACTTGTGTATAATGTTTTGTGAAAAGTATTGCTAGAGCTCAACCTAGATGCCGAACAGATGTCCAATACAGGTATGTTTGGAGAGCCATGAAAATTGCTTGTGCTTTAGCAAGGTGGGCTCAGCTCTCATACACCCAGGGGAATACATCCTAATGGAAAACATTGATCTAGCCAGAGATCCACTTAGGGTCTGAGCAAATAATACTTGTCCCTTTGATTATTTCATGAAAACAAAAAATGGTCTATGGTCTGTGTTCTCTGCAGACAGAATGCCAAAGCCCATCAGATGGCAAGACAGTGAAGTCTTCTCATCAGAAGCATGAGGATTTGGAAAGATAGGAATAGATTAATTTCCAAGTTCCATACAAATCGTCTCAGTAACAGTCTTCACGTATGTCAAGGGCTGCTTTAGAAAGGACGGTGATCAATTATTCCCCATGGTCACTGAAAGTAGGACAAATAGTAATGGGCTTAATCTGTAGCAAGCAAGGGAGATTTAAGTTAGAAAGATTTTCATAATATCTAATTATAAAGCCAGTAAAGCTTTGAAATAGGCTTCATGGGGACACTGTAGAATCCCAGTAATTGAAAGATTTTAAGAATAACCTGTCAGGAATGGTCTTCTTGGTCCTACAATAGCACAGGAGGCTGGACTTGATGACTTCTCAAGGTCCCTTCCAGCCCTACATTTCTATGATTAAGAGCCCACTGTTCTGTTGATTTCACTGCCAGCAGG